AAGAGAAAGAGAAAGAGAAAGAGAAAGAGAAAGAGAAAGAGAAAGAGAAAGAGAAAGAGAAAGAGAAAGAGAAAGAGAAAGAGAAAGAGAAAGAATTGGATCTTCAGAACGCTGACCACATCAGGCCTCAAAAAATGGACCCCTGATATTTTTTCCTGTCATGCTTTAACCCCAGCCAGCAGTCAAGCCCCTTGCAGCCACTCATTCACACCCCCACCAGCAGATTTGGGCAGAGAATTGGAAGCGTAAAAGCTGGAAAACTCGAGGGTTGAGATGAAGACAGTTTAATAGGGAAAGCAGAAGCCACACCTGCACGCAAAACAAAACCAGGAGTTAATTCATCACTTCCCATGGTCAGGCAGGAGTTCACCATCTCCAGGAGAGCAGTGCTCATCATCACATCTAAATGTCACTTGGGAAGACAAATGCCATAATGGGAAACATGCCCCCTTCCCTTTTCTTCCCTCCACTTTATACCCTGAACGTGATGTCACAGGGTCTGGAATATGCCTTTGGTCAGTTGGGGTCACCTTTCCTGGCTGTGCCTCCTCCCACTGTCCCAAGCACCCCAGCTTCCCCGCCAGCGTGGCAGTCTGAGAAACAGAAAAGGCTTTGGCTCTGTGTAAGCTCTGCTCAGCAGTAACTAAAACATCTCTGTGTTACCATCACTGTGTTCAGCACAAAGCTAAAACATAGCTTCACAGTAGCCACTACAAGGAAAATTAACTTCACCCCAACTAAATCCAGCACATGTTCACCATTTTTCCAAATAAAGGATTTTTCCCTAGGTTTTCATGCCACTGACTAGGGTTGCATCTAGGTGGCATTTTCAATACACAGCATTAAGTTGCATCTCTCAGCCTGCTGAGTAGCAGCAGTTTTCCAAATTCTTCAACCATACTTGCAGTGAAATTCAACAACTCCATTAGTCCCATCAGTGTTGCATAGTTGCACAGTTGACTATAAAACAGTACATGCAGAAGAGAAAGACATTGATGCCTTAAAACCAGCAGAAGAACCATCATATAAACAAGCAATGTGAAAATCCTGAGTTTCAGCCAGACCTGAAGAGGTTCTGTAAACAGTGCAGAGGGTGAGGTGCCTCCCGGCCCACAGCAGCAATGACTGCCTTAGAACTCGAGTCAGGACCTACCAAAACCAAGTTTAGAAAAACATATGAAATCAGCAATTTTCCCTCTCCACTTAGCACTGCTACTATGAGCCCCTGCTGCGTCTCTCCCTCGAATCCACGGGGATAAAACCCCTGTGGAGCCCGGCCAGCAGTGGGGTGAGGCGGGCAGAGGGAAGGAACTTCTCCTTGGATCTTGGGGGGCTTGGAGAAGCTCCCTTGTGAGTCCAAAGACGAGCTGGTCCCACAAGCAAAGGAAAGAGGCACTCTCCCTCAGGATTAGTTCCAAAGTTTAATAAGAGCCTGGATATGTCCCAGGCCACATGTGGCTTCAAAGGACCTCCCGAGAAAGAGAGCGAGCCCCGCCCAGAGCAGCCAGATATAGGGAGTGTGGGGAAAACCGAACAGCCAACGGGGGAAGGACAGGGGAGTGGCTCTCGGGGGGCAAAGGAGGGGAAAACTGGGGTGGGCTACACAGGTACAAAGAGGGGATATGGAGGGATAAACCAATATGAGGGGATATACATTGAAAACACAACTCTACAAGCCCCCAAGGAAAAAAAACTGCAATCAAGCTATGCAGAAATTATTAGTGAGGTTGATAATGCAGAAGTCGACATTTTCTAGATTGAATTCTAATCTATTCTCATCATATTGCTATCTTCACACCCAATTTTAAATATGTCATTGGAAAAATTACAGCAAACAATTCTATGCAGTCTTGCATAGAATAATTTTTTCTACCATTTCTTCTATTTGGCACATCTTGCTGATATATTGCCGAGACTGAACGGTCATAATGATTCAGAATGGGAAAGAGGAGGAAAATAATGTCCAACCTTATATTGCTTTTGCTGTTAGTCACCCAGAGAAAGCAATGAAGTGTGAAGTTAGGTACCTCCTGGGAACACTAGTAGTGGATTTTGAACTCAGGTCTGCAAGTGTGAAATAATTGTCCAAGGTTTTTGCTCATGTTTAGGTCCCCAGAAAAATTCCTTTTTAGTCTTGGGTTTTCTTTTGTTATTCTTCATGTCAGAGATGTTTTAGAGGCAGGTAAGGGAACTTGCAACACATATATGAATAATAAAAAGAAATATTTGCTGAATAATTTATTTAACACACTGCCAGAACACTGCCACAGCTGAAAAAAAAAGTTTAAAAAAATCCTTCAACTACTTTCAAAAAGTATTGCAAAACTCACTAGATACAATCACAAGGATTATTGTCCTGGAAGATACAGTTGTCTGCTTGCTCCCTATTCATTCCACCCATGCTGCCAAAGCTGTGTTGCTAACATGTAACTGTCCAGAGCCTTCTTTTTATCCAAGTGTCAGTGTAATTGGTATACTTACTCCAACTTTCTGAAAACACTAATAAACTTGACAGGCAGAGGTTTCCATGATGCACTCTGGTGAAAACAGTGAAAAAAATGGCTGATTTGTGTATTTTGTTAATTTCAAACAAATCAGACAGAGGCTTTTTTATTTTGCATATATATAGTACTATCCTAAAATAATCCACAGGGCTGAGATTGCAAGTTTGCCTGCAGGCAGCACCAATAAGTACAGTAGATTTAAAAAGGCTTTCACTCATTCAGACCACCAACAGAAACTGCCCATTGGTTTTGACTATATTATGTCAGTGTCCTGAAGGTTTTTCTCAAAGACCATTAAAAAATATTGTAGTTAAATATGCCAAATAAACATTTGCTGAAATGGTAATTTTCCTACAATTTACCCCAAATAATTCCTATAATTTTTCACTCCCTTTACAGACTTCATACACAAAAGATTTATTATAATTACAACAGTGACTGAACCAGCTGTATGCTCCTCTTAAACATTTTGGCAAGGGAGATGGTGTTCTGTTTTGAGCTTAAAGCAGATTTTTAAAATATTGAATGTATTACTAAATACAGAAACATGGGACTATTTCTCAGGGTATTTTTGTATTTTTGTAGCAGTAAGAGATTTTAAATTTCTTTTTCATATTTGACACACTGATGCAAAAATTAGTAATAGTAAACTCTAGAAGAGATTTTATTAAAAGATTTACTAGTGTGTGTGGCTTAAAAGGGCTTTATTTTAATATTGCATTCTGTTTTATGAATAATTCTTTTTATGCCATCCTCTCTCAAACAAAACTCTGGATCAGGAGAAGGAAACTAGAAAACAGGAAAGGGACATGTTTGTTTAGTTTTTCAGTTCTAATTCATGGAACTCTTAGTTTTTTATTGAGCTCAGGGCTGCAATATCATCCTTCTGACCAAATTCAGACAGTAGCAATTCTGTTATTGTTTTTTCAGTTTCAGTTCTAGTTTAAACTAGATTTCAGTTTCACTTCCAGTTTCAACTGGATTTTACAACTTTACCTTCTCCATCCATACAGAGAGTGAACTTGCTGTGACTTGATGTGTGTCCACCATGGGAAGATTTAATGGCAATTCTTCTCTTAAAAGTGTAGTAGGAAATGGATACAGGCTTTCATTATAAAATCTCAGATTAACACAATGTCCATATCACAATTCACACACCACAGACATATCCTCCAGAAAATACCGTTTGGACACAGAAATAGGTTTTAATAAAGACATTACAAAACAAAACCAAACCCTTAAAAATACCCCAAAACCAAACAAATAACCTCGCAATAACTTTGATTATGTTCATCATCTTCTCATCATTTACTTTCTAGGTGTACTATTGAGAATATACTTTTTGGGTACTAACTTAAAAAGATAATTCAAAGTGACCTGTTGCTCCACAAACATGCTTTTATTTGGTTAATACGGATAGTATGACAAATGAGCTTATAAATTCAAATGGTGCAAGCTTGAAATTATAATTTTGTGAATTAGCTCACTAGTAATAAAAAGCAATCCATGTTTGAAGACTGACTAGAAATCTGAGTGTGAGCATACAAAAATTTCATGTTAAATAATCACTGACTACTTAGAGTTTGCTTTGTTCTCTTACTTAAATCTGCCCACAGAC